AACTACAGGCCCGCGCTCCCACGCCTGGCTCATTTTTGATTTATGGTAGACATGAGGTCTCGCCTAGTTGCCCAGACGGGTCTCGAACCCGCGGGCTCAGGCAATCCACTCACCTCAGCCTCCCAAAGGCGCGGGATTACAGGTTGAGCCACCGAGCCCGGCTGTAAATTTACATTTTTAAGAAGCTCAGTAAACCCTAAGCAGAATAAACACAAAGAAAATCAGGTCAGGCTCAGCCTGTAATCCCACGATTTGGGGAGGCCAAGGCTAGTGGATTGCCTGATCCCACGGGTTCAAGACCAGTCTTGACAACTTGGTGAGACCTGATCTCTACAATAAATCAAAAATTAGCTGGGCGTGGTAGCACGTGCCTGTAGTTCCGGCTACTTGGAAGGCTGAGGCAGAAGGATCACCGGAGCTCAGTAGGTCAGCGCTGGGGTGGCCTTGAGTGTGCCACTGCACTTCAGCCTGGGTGATGGAGTGAGACTCCAACTCAGAAAAAAAAAGAAAAGAAAGAAAATCATGTGTATGAATAAGTAGTCAAATTGAACTCAAAGATAGAGAAAAATCTTGAAGGCAGTCAGAGAAAAATTGCACATTTCATGCAAGAAAACAATCCTTCAAAAATCCTTCATGCTCATTATAAACTATGCAGGCCAGAATACAATAAAAATATCTTTATATTGCCAAAGGAGAAAAGTAACTATTAATCAAGTATTCTATACTAAGTTTAAATGTCTTTCAAAAATTGTGGCAATTTTAAGACATTTTCAGAAAATTAAAAGAAACCCTTGTCAGCAGATAGTCACTATAGTAAATGTTAAAGGAAGTTCTTTACGCTTATGGGATACATTTCTAAATAAAAACTTAAATATTCAAGGAAAAAGTACATTAAAAAGTCAAGTATTTATATAAAAAGAAAAGCAAAAGTCAAGCAACATATTTTCAAAAGGCATTTGGTCTTGCTTACAATGTTAAATTCATACTTTTGTTTAGACTGTGAAGTTCTTTCTTAGATTGATGTAATGTGTCTAAATCAAGCTCTTTACAAAAAAAACAACTATGATTATTGCTAAAAATAGAACAATGGTAGCTGGAAATTTTTAGGACATAGTTAATGCAAACTATGCTTTCATTTTGTTTCTTTGGTAGACTAGATACTTGGAAGTAGTACTTTTCAACCATTTTTATATAATGAAAATTATATTTCCAAAGTATACCAATAAATATAAACAATAGTTTAATTATAATCTATCAACTAGCAACTGGGATCTTTGGAACTCAGGCACTTCAAATCATACAAATACATTAGGGCACACTGTTATTTCCTAAAGAAAGAGCTCTGGGAGAAAAAACACTTTTTTCTTTGAAAATACTTTCATTACGAAATAACTAGAAACTAAAGGAATTACATAAAAAATATTGCTTAACTTTTAAGAAATAAGGGAAATTGCCAAAGAGAGGTAGTTAGAAGTAAAATGAGGAACAGCAATTGGGTAAATGAGTTCAAAGGGCAGAGTAATCTTAAGGATGATTTATCAGTGCTAGGATTCTAAGACCAAGTCTTGGTTCACTGAAAGGATGGAGACAATCCGTGAGATCTTTTCATTTGTCTGGAATCTTCAAAAGGACTGCAAAACATCCAAATCGTTAGTTGCCGCCTGCTATTTTGCAGATGAAAATACAAATAACCTCCAGAAGAAAGCATCTTTAATTTTTCTCTTAGAAATCTCATTGACTGATATAAGCCACATTTTGAAAAAATTTAAATGCCTCAGGAAAAAAGATGACATGAGCAGAAAATACAAAGAACAAATTTGGTCACTGAGGACTTTCGATATTTAAATAATCATATATATTAGAAATAAAAATGTTTAAATTATTTTGAGGAATAAAAGAGGAAACAAAAAGCGATCAGATAATAAGAAACTATCAACAGCTAACAGACAGGCATGAAAATAAGTCCTTAGAATTGAAAAACAATAATCTTTGAAATTAGAAACTCAATTAATGATTTAGCAGATTAGACATAGAAAAAGTGATAATTTGTGAACTGAAAGATATATCTGAAAATATTGCCAAGAGTGCAACAAAAATTGATAACAATATAGTATAGACAAAATGTATAGGCTAAATAAAATGGAAGATAGAAAGCAAATGCCCAATGCACATCTAATCTGAGTTCCAGAAAGAAAATAGGGAGATAGTAAAGAAATAATTTGGAATGACGGTTGAATAGATCTGTTAAATTTTATTTTACCTATTTTAAGTCTATTTTGTTATTTTCTTAAGATCAAATACATTTAGTTTGGTTTACTTGTCTAATGAGTCGAAACTGGGACATTAGGAGAGATGCCTTATTCAACTATAACAATAGAATGAAGATTAGAAAACACATTTGACAGAATTTAAAGCTAGATCTTAAAAAAAAAAAAAAGAAAAAGAAAGCTAGGTCTTTATTTATTACTGCCCTGTGTCTTAAGTATAAAGACTACAATAATGTGCATTTGCTTTGTGGATAATATCTCACAAGGTTCCACTGCTTGAAGAAAAATATGAACATATATTGCATGAAATAGTTTTTAGGTTGTGGTTGAAGGAGCTTGAAAACATCAAAATTCAATTTAAAGTCTAAATGATTTTCCAGAAGTTGAATGTACTTTATAATATGGACATATAGTGACGATATCTTTCTAGTAGAATTATATTCGTGTGTTCAAGAAAAAAAAACAGAGAGAAAGATATGTAGTGTTTCAACACATAATTAGCATGCAAAAATAACAGATTGAAAACAAATAGTCTAAGAAAATAGGCAGGTTTTAATTGAGTGGGTTTTTTTTCACTTTTAAAAGAATTCTAATATATTCATATGAGAGAGCAAGACAAAGACTAACAAAATTCCCACTTAAATGTTTTTGCATGTAATTGCATTTTAAAAATTGACAAAAACTACCTGTAATGACCATGAATTTTAAGAGGAAAGATACTTTAACCTCATCTTGCATCAGTCCATGCCAGGAGGAGCTCATATGAATAAGTTTGCACAGAAAAAGAATAAAGTGCAATTATTTTATGAAATACTTTTAAGTTCATTTAAAACTCATTATATAGTTCGTTTTTCTCACTTTGATCCTTATATATTTTTGTCATGGACTATGAGAGGAGATCATTGAAAAGCAAGTATCTAAATCATCTGTATATAGAGGTAAATGACTCCCCTTTATTCAGATGTCCTCAAGGTAAATCAAGGCTACTGTTTATGCTTGGTTACTCAGGAATTCGATGAGACAAAATAATATTACCTACTGAGGAGACTGTTCCAGATTTATTTTCTCCAGTACAGTTTTTCTCTTTTGGTTCATTATTCACTTTATCATGTCTTGCAGAGTTGAAATGGACAACTAATGAAAGAAGAAACAAAGTTTCCTAATTAAATACAAAGCAAAAACCCCTTGCATTCTAGTGACTCTGTGAAATGCAAAAATGTGGAAATTCCATCGTCAGTTAAATGATTAAAATTGTATGAGAAAAAGTAACATCGTTTTTCTAGATTTGAAATTTCATTTTCATTCATATGAATCATAGTAATGTTAACTTTAGGAGAACTGGAGAAATATGACCTGGGCCCACAGTAATACCCATTTGAGATTTTACTTATTTATTTTAATAAGCACAAAATGCCCAACTCTGGACATGATCCTCATTTGGATAGTATGTGTTTAGTTTGTTCCTACTGATTATATCAGGTATCACCTGCTTGATAGAAAGAGTTTTGGTTTTGGCTTGCATCTCTTGTTTTTGAGATCCTGCATGTAAATGCTGCATCTATAAGGGTAGAGTTAGCCCAGGGTAGTATTTCTACAATAAAGAAAATATTTGTCCTTCTGATGGTCATCTAACTATTCTTGGTACTTTATAGTCTCACAATAGTGTGTACTATGCAATTAGTATTGACCAGGTAAAACAAAACGAGCATATATGAAAGTAATGAAAGTAAATATTTAATAGCACTTTCCATGTGCCAGTCATTAACATATGGCCCTTCACAATACCTTCACAATACATTTAATTCATGTATACATTCATTTATAATAAATTAAATATATAATCTCTAATACTTATATTGATATATAATACTTTTTTTTTTTTTTTTGAGTTGGAGTCTCACTCTGTCGCCCAGACTGGAGTGCAGTGGCCGCTCCTGGCCACCGCAGCTCGACGTGCTGAGCTCCGACGATCCTTTCCGCCTCAGCCCTCCGAGTAGCCAGAATTACAGGCGCGCGCTACCACGCCCGGCTGATTTTTTGATTTATTGTAGAGATGAGGTCTTGCTGCCCCAGGCGGGTCTCGAACCCGCGGGCTCAGGCAATCCACTCACCTCAGCCTCCCAAAGGCGCGGGATTACAGGCTGAGCCAACGAGCCCGGCATATATAATGCTTTTAATTCTTACAACATATATGTTTCATAATACATTCTACTTGAAGTAAGAATTCTATTAATGGTGTTTTGAAAACAGACTCTAGAGCATCCATGCACATTGTCGCTTTCTAGATAAACTTTTTAAAAAGTCGTTTTATCTTCAAAATCCATTTTAGTAACAAGTGTATTTTAGTAACAAACACAGCTATTGCCTTGACTTAACAAAAAAAATATAGCAAAGAATTTTAATGCTAATTATTTTTTCCCCTCCTTTCCCAATGTTTTAAGCCTCATTTAGGCCTTTGGCTAGTTATATTAAACGAGTTAAACCATTTAATCTCTCTGAGCTTCACACTGTTCATCTGAATCTGATCTTGCTGATTTCTAGAGCCCTTTACAGTTCTAAAATTCAATGACTCTCCCTGTTTGCTTGTAATTACGAATGCCATTCATAATTACTAATGTTATTCACAGGATTCAGTGGAAGCCTGTATTCCTTGGAAATCTATCATCTGTATATTATCTCCGTTCTGTAGATATTCATAAAGAATTTTTCCTCAAGTATTTATTAATAAAATATTAAAATAATTGCTGTACACATAATTGGACTGTGTTCAGTTATGGTCAAAGTACGTAAGTATAATTTTTAAATGCTCGATTGAATTGATTCATTTTAGACAAATTTCTCATCTATTGAGACAAGATTGATGATGCCAGGAGGAGCTCATATGAATAAGTTTACACAGAAATGCACTTCATAATTTAATTTTCTTTCTTCTGAACATACTTTGAGAGAAGGCTGTGTGAGAAGGCTATGTATGCTCTACTATCAAACCATACTAGGAAATCTGTTGCTTTATCTTGGTCATAAAATATACATCTAATCATGACATCTCTTTCCTTTATCCATGAGATGAATCCATAAGACATATTTCATCACATGTTGAAATTCTATAGAAATATCTAATTTTAGTTGTGTATCAAATTTCACACTTTTTGTGAAGTTGTACTGTATTGATTAGGAATCATTTGAATAACAAACACAATTACAACTGTGCGAGAAAATAATATAATAAATGAATGCTATTAATAATGACTTACCCAAAATGCTCAGTACAATTACTATTATCAGGAGGATGATGATTATTGCACATCCAACTTTCAGGAAAATTCCATGATGATGAGATTCTATAAAATTGGATGGATTTCATTGGTAAGTGCTGCAGATAATTCCTTAGATGGTTTGAATTAGGGAGAGCTGAATAAACATTCTCACTTAGCATGCTCCTGAGTTAACCTTCTTTTAAGATATGTAGACCCAGCTTCCTTTTTAGACACACACACCCCACATATATATGTGTTTGTTCTTTGGTTTGTGAAAAGGGGGAATCTAAAAAACTAAATAGATATGAATTTTTCTTGGGGATCCACACTATAAATTCCCTAGTATTGATCTTATTTATGATTACTCTTCACACCTCTGGGTTTCCATATAAGACTGAGACCTTCAAGATTCTCTAACAAACTTTTTGACAACACCCACTTACTTGAGTTGATATTTTCTGTTTTTTTCTTATAAGAATACATGTATTTCCTGTGACATATAATTATGATTTCATATAGCCATATATTTAAAAACAAAAGCATATTTAGAGATTATCTTGTCTAATACCCATTTATTAAAATGGAGATATTCACGACCATGGTCACACAATTACTTCAGAGCAAAGTTGTTAACAAACCTCAAGTTTCTTAACAGCTAAGTAGTGAACTAGCGCTGTGTTCACTATTCACATTATCTCACTGCATTTGGAGAGCTCAAAAGATAATTAATAAAACAAATAAAAAAGCAGGTATTTTTAAATTTAGGCTGAAAGTTAAAACCAACAGTCTCTAATACAAAATAATTATAGAACATCAATTCCATCATATATGTGATATTTACACACATATATGCAATACACTGAGAAAGTACTGAAAATAGCTGATGTTGAAATATAACCAACTACTATATGACATGCCAAGACTGGTTAATTAGAATGTTTATTTGGTGGATTATCATTATAGAGTGCTTTGTTTTATGTTCAAATTATTATTGTTATTAATTAATACATCTTTGGTGGGGATTATTAATTCTCAAAACATTAAAAGAAGTCCATATATTTTCATTTATCCGACAAAACAGTCAAATTGTGAAAGGCAAGGCAATCACAAGAAGAATGTGGTGATATCACTACATGTGTTTCCTTTTTTAGATTTTTAAATTTTAGATTCAGGAGTACACATGCGTGTTCACTGCATGAACATATACTACACATGTTTCTAATATAAAGAACTAATATTAAAGACCCCAAAATATAAGACACTAAAACTTCGGATTTCATCAAAGGATCAACATATGAGATATCAGTCTTTTTTTTAGATCTTTAAAGTAAGACTTAAAGAAAATAATTTCTGAATGTTAGTCTGGAATATTCTCAATTCAATCACACTCTTTCACTGATATCCTACTCAGTTTCCTGGTGATGTTTCCCTTTATTTCATATCTTGTAGAACCAATAAATATAAAATATGTATTAAGTGTCTAATAAGATCCATTTATTTATTGATCCCACTTATCAAGAATCTATTGATTGCCTGCTATGTAGTTAGTATTATGTGAGGTCCTGGGAATACAAAGATCAAAAAATTGGGTAAAGAAATTCAACGTGCACAAGGCTCTAAAATGATAAATAAAAAAATAACTTTTAGGAGTAAAGAGAAAACCAATAGAATAAAATAAGTAAAAAGTAAGGAATTAAAAGAGTTTAGAGACAGTTATGTTGATTTCTGTAGGATGCAAAAATCCAATATGTCAAATATCGCTTTCCCTATAAAATATGTGGCACGTGAGATCAGAATGTTCAATGATCCCGCACCAGACACATACAGTGAAAGATCAGTAAGATATTTGACTTTTGGTTATCAGTATGAAGATATGTATGCAATGTATTCTTTATATAATTATGTTTTCTCATTTTCTGCATTATTAAGATTGGACTAGATTACATAAAAGATGTTCTCTTCAAATCCCTAAACCAGGAAAGGAATAATATTCTATCCATAAAGAAAGAGGAAATTAAACTCTAGAATGCAGATTGAAAATACTGATTTGTTGCTTGAACTGAGTTAAAATAACCTCTAGAAAAATTAACTATGGGACATTTTTGAGGGGTGAGGGAATGCAAATACAGTTCTACTATTTTGCAAATTAAGTTTCACTATCTCATAGAAAAATCAAGGTATCTAGTCTGGGAAGAAAATAAAATAGATTAGGTTTTACTGGGTAAATTAGAGAGGTAAAGTGCAAAATAAAAAATTTGATGCTCCTGCAACCACAAAAGAACACATATGAGATTTATTTGATAACTGCCAATTTTTGAAAGTATAAAGAAGAAATGCATTCTTTGGAAATAGAGACAAACTTAACATCAAATTAATTAATTCCACAAGGGCAAGTGCAAAGAGAAGGATACTTTTAATTATTTTAAAAAGGTATATAAACTTTATCATTTAAAAAATTCTTACTCTGGAAGTGATAAAGAAAATGTAACATGGCAAGGACATTTTTCTAATGTTTCAGGGAATATAAATACACTGCCTTTGAAAATCTGTTATTTTTTAGGTGGTTTTATAATTAAGGAGCAAGGTTAAGTTTAGCCATATGCCTATTTCCTTATATTCCCAAAATATCCAATCACTCAGATAACCATTAACTTTAAACTTTATGAAACAAAAAACTAACATTTTATGTTTTCTTTATTTAGTTTAAGATTTTTATCCTACCAATATATAAATTCCAAAAATATAAATGACAATGTGAATAATTACCAGGGATATTTTTCTCAGTGTAAATGAATTTTTCATGTCATGTTAGTAGGACTGATCTGATCAAGAGTGAACAAAACTGTGGATCAGAAAGAGGTGATGTTCATAGAAATCTTTGTGTGAGTGTGGATGTTCATCACAAGAAATGTAAGCAGTAGATAGGCTATGAAAACAAAAGTAAAGTTCTACATATTAATACCAAAGTTACAATCAATTTTACAAAGAAACATTTTACCTCATTTAAAACAATCACTTATTCTTACATTTAATACATTTTGCTTTGTTTACAGTATGACAAATTTTATTTACAGTATGACAAATATAGACACAGGATAGAAACAAAGAAAATTAAAAGTAAAATATTAATTCTCAAAGACATCCAAAGTTCAACTTACCAGATCTTGGAAGTGGAGATGAAAGTTCAAAAGAAGACTTAACAGTTTTAATATCGGCATAGACTATGTCTCCAGCCATTGCATAGATGAAAAAGAGAGGAGACCAAAGACGATGTTCTATAGAAGAGAGGATTATTATTTATGCAAGCAACTTCTAGTAAGTTGAGATGGTAGATTTCTTTCTGTTCCCCAAGTAGGTGGTGGACTTCCTCCATGACTAAATGACAAAGCCAATATGTGCAATCTTACCAATCAAGGGAATAGACTTTTTGAATACTTGCATGATATGGAAGAAAACTACTAACCATACAGTACGTGATTGTTCTTCAGTTAGTTTCCTGCCTAGATTTGGAATAATTTTAACTCGTATTAATATCACAGAAGATAACTGACTACTTACATTTATAAACCACTTCCTCTTTTAGTTCAGGAATATATTCTCTAGCAGAAATTCTCTGGCTATCCAGCATCTACTCCAAAGTAGAACAGTGATTTGGGAAAAGGAGCAAGAAAGAGGAGGGTTTTTTTTTCTTAATGAAAATGAGAAAAAGGAGACTATTTTTTTATCCTCATCTTTAAATGCATTAAATCGCTATGGATAATACTTTATAAATTCTTTTGTCTATTTCTTCTCTTTTATGTTTTGTAATGCTAACATTAAATTGAAGTGAAGCATGAATTCTGCAGAGGACTTCCAAACTTAAAACAAATTATATTTTAGAAATAGAAATAACACTGTATGTCAAAATAAGTCAAGGTGATGTCATAAATGAAAATTAATATAATTTTAAAATAAAATTTATAGAAATTCACCACTGAATGTCATATATTAAACATTGATTTTTTATTTTTTTATTTTTTGAGTTGGAGTCTCACTCTGTCACCCAGATTGGAGTGCAGTGGCCCCAGTCTCAACCTGCTGGGCTCAGGCGATCCTTCAGCTTCAGCCTTCCAAGTAACTGGAACTAAAGGCGCGTGCTACCACGCCCGGCTAATTTTTAAATTTACTGTAGAGATGAGGTCTCGCCAAGTTGCCCAGGTGGGTCTCGAACCTGTGGGCTCAGGCAATCCACTCACCTCAGCTTCCCAAAGGCGCGGGATTACAGGCTGAGCCACCGAGCCTGGCTAAACATTGATTTTTAAATCTCCTGTTTCTTTTAAAATTCCACTAAAATTTTATTAAATGCTAAAAATTTATAAATCTTAAAAAATAACACCAAAAGGAATGCAATTCTATCTGCTGAATAATTTCAACAATTTCCTGGAAGATGAAGGAGTGATAGATATGTGATAATCAATGATAAAAAGCAATTAAAAACAAAGCTTAAAAACATTCAGAGGGAAATAACAAGGGAGAACTCAGAACTCGGAAATGTCAGATATGAAAAATGGCAGGAGTCATTACCTTATAACTAGTAGATTAACTGAAATTCTGCATATGAAAAAATGGATTTTCTCAATAATCACTCAAATGCATTGCACAGAATTAACTAAACTGCAGTCACCACCCACCCAAATCCAAAACATTGTCTATATTACTCGAGTAGCTAGAAAACAAGTCTCAGCTTTGTAGTACTGAGGGAGTTCCTCAGTATAATGACTAACTTCTGACTTTGGATGGGCCTTCCACACTGAACTGTTTCTCAAGACTGCCATGATACTTGCTCTTTTCTGGGCTGTTCTAAAACTTTGTATGTGATTAGACAATAATGACTGCATTTTGAACTGCATTCTATGAGGTGGCCAAAAAAACATACAATTTATTTATTTTTTTAAAATTGTGTGTTTATTCTTACATGTTTAAACTTCAGTCACCTTCAAAGTACTATCTGTTTGATGCAATACACCTATGGAGACACTTTTTCCACTGCTTAAAACAATTTTTGAACTTGTCAATTTGATGCCTTTTAGTGTTTCTGTCATTTTTTTTTTTCACCTCTTCCACATGGCAAAATATTTCCCTTTGAGGAATTTTTTTCATCTAGTGAAACAAAAAAAGGTCTCTTGGGGTGAGATTTGGTGAATAGGGAGAGCCGGGCACATGAATGTGCCATTTTTGGTAAAAAAACTCAGCACTGGTGGGCAGGTTGTTCATGTAAATCAACCATCATGAAATGGGCAAAAGCACTGAAAGAGTCTCAAAGCAAAACACAACAACAACAACAAAAGGAGTGGCCTGCCTTTCAAGCAATAATTCTATTTTGGGGAGAATCTTTTGGCCTACATTAAAAACTGACTTTTAGAGATCATATTATCTGCTGTGGTTGTATAATAAGTGAAGTGTATAAGTGAGGATTTGAATTCCTGCCAAACTGAGTCCAAAATCCATGGCACCTTTGTATGCTAGTTGCTTCATTTCTGACATTTCAGTGTCTATTTTTATTTACATACTTGGTATTTCTCACGTTTGTTGCTTCTTTGCATGCTGAATAATTTTTGGTTAGATGTGGAATATTGTGATTTTATGTTCATGAATGCCTTCTTCAGGGAGAGCTTACTCCTGCTACTAAGTCTGATCCTTCTGTACTGAATGGCCTGATAATCACTGATGACTATTCTGGCTGGTAAGAGCTCAAATGTATCTTCCTGCAACAAGCATACTCTAAAACCTATTAATCCCTTTTTCATGCTGTTTGAGCTCTGAAACCAGATCAACAGATAACTGATATGGGATAACTAACTTTTTTGCTGAGACTTGTGTATTTTTATACTATGTATAAGCATCCTAGTGTTCAGAAGAACCAAAGGAGACTTTCTCTTTCATACGCTCTCCACAACTTCCAGCTACCTCAGACTCCTAAAATTCCTGCCTGTGTTTTTTCAGTTTCTTCAAGTTCTCTTTAGATGCTTCTTTCTGACTCCATATTCTGGAATATGGAGATGATCTTAGTACTTATCTTATTTGCTTCCATTTTCTGAAGGATAACAGTCCTGAGCTCTCTACTGTATAATGTCTGAATGATATGTTAATATATTTCTTGAATTTTTTAGTTGATTATTGTGGGATACTGAGTCTGATCCTTGTTCATTCATTGTAGCTGATGATGCTACACATTTTAAAATGTAATTCCATTCATATTATAATCTAAACACATTGCTGTATTTTTCTGCCTTCAATTTTGCTACATTTTTTGGTTTCAGATTTTTTTTTTTCCATAATCTACAATAAGAGTATTGACTCTGAAATTTTAAAAGCCAGGGTCTGGATCTTGACTCCAAAATGTAATAGCTCTACAACTTTGGGACAAATTTACTTTTTAATGTTAATACTTTAATCTGCAGCAAAGATATAATGATATCAATGTTAAAGTAACTTTGTGAGATATGGGACATTGTAGGACATGATCAATTATATAAATAATGTGAATTTTTGTCTCACATTGACTTCTTGCTAAGAGCATGCCCTAATACTTTTTATCTGCTGTGGTTGTATAATCAGTGAAGTGTATGAGTGAGGATTTGAATTCCTACCAAACTGAGTCCAAAATCCATGGCACCTTTGTATGCTAGTTGCTTCATTTCTGACTTTTCAATGTCTATTTTTATTTACGTACTTGATATTGGTCACAATTTCTGCTTCATTGCATGTTGGATAATTTTTGGTTAGTTGTGGGATATTGTGATTTTTATGCTTATGGACGCCTTCTGTTAATACTATATACTTTTATTAATATTCATTAACCCTTTTCTTATATTTTTATGGTGCTCGATTTTCTGTTTTCTTTTTTATTAATCTGGTGTTCTTAAAGAGGTCTTTTTGTCCTTAGAAGTCCTTAGAAAAAGAGACTGAAAATAGTATTGCTTAATAAACCATGGTTATTTAATAATAAATTATATACATTCTTAAAAATTTGGAGGCCGGATGCAGTGGCTCAAGCCTGTTATCCTACCGCTTTGGGAGGCCTAAGCGAGAGAATTGTCTGAGTCCAGGGATTTGAGACCAGCCTGGGCAACTTGGAGAAATCTTGTCTCAACAATATATCAAAAAAGTTTAGCCGGGCGTGGTAGTGTGTGCCTGTAGTTTCAACTACTTGGAAGGCTGAGGTGGAAGGATTGCCGGAGCCCAGCAGGTCAAAAGCTGGGGTGGCCATGAGCATGCCACTGCACTCTGGCCTGCATGACAGAGTGAAATTCTGACTCAAAACACATACATGCATAAAAAAGAATTTGGAAAGATCCCTTTCCACACCATCATCATTAAAGTACAATGCAGAAAGATAAGAGAAAAAACACAGTACAAGATTAAAATGTTAATAGTGTTAAAATGACAAGGACACAGAACAGGCAGTATGGAGTGTTGATTTTTCTAAGAAAAGGGAAGTTTTGCAAACAGTTACAAAAAGAGGAAATATTTTCAAAAAATGTAAACTGTTAGCTTAAAGATATCATGTAACTTTAAATGTAGATATCAGGAAATGAGATGAAATTTAAAGAAAAGTGAGAGATCAATATTCTCTAGCTACTAAATGATGTCAAAAGTAAGTCAGAGATGTTTGATTATTAGTACAAAAATTTGCTTACATTAGGGTCAAGAGATTTTTGTCAACAAAGACAAAATATATGGGAGAGTAAATAAGAGAAAAAAAACAGTTTTAGTAATTTGTCTAGAAAAAGTGTTATTATCGTGTACCTGAAGAGTAGTTTGACTAATATAAAAGTTTAGATTGGTAATCAGATTTCCTATAAATGTTGATTTCCTATAAATGTTCTGCCAGATGACATAATTGTTATTAAAACATATAATAAAATTGTGATTTCTAATCCTGTGTCTGAGGTCTAATGTTTCTATAGGAAAATTTTCAGAATCTTTTATTTATTTCTAGATTTCTGAAATTCCACAGTGAGATGTCTTTTGAGTCTATTTTCACTCTTTCTTTTGGGCATTCAATGTGATGTTTTAAACAGAAAACACAACTTAACTTTAGAGAAAACTTATTTTCATATTTATATATTAATTATCTGCCTATTTTTATGCTAGTATCTTCTTCTGGCATTTCTGTGGGGAAGTACTAGTGCTTTTGGATTGACAGTCTGATATTGATATACCTTTTTCTTTTATCTCTTTCTCTTTAGATTTTATCTAGGAAAGTTTCTCAAGTTTTTCCTCTATCCACTTTGTAAAATAAAATTGTTATTCTGAATTTATTTGATTATAACTTTAATTTCCAAAAAATATTTCTTGTTTTATAAATGTTCTTTTTTCACAGGCAATTTTTTTTATTCAGGTGATGCAGTATTTTCTCTCCCTCATTTCTGAGATTATAAATTATAAGACTATTTTAGATTTCTCTTCCCTTTACCATCAATTTTAGTCTGAACTGGACCTTATGTTTACTTATTTTGGTGTCGTTTTATTTAGAGACTTCCTAAAAATCTAGTGATCATTAAATGCCTGATAATATGCAAGGCTGAGGTGCTAAAGAGGCAACGGGAAGTTCTGTGCCAGGGACTAGTGTATATAACAATGGACGGCCAGGTAGAGATTGCTCATTTCTTCTGATTCCTGATATTTCTAAGTCTTCTTTGTTGAGCTGTTCAGTTTTTCCTTTTTTTTTCTTTATTTTTTATTGTAAAGATGAGGTGTATAAGTCAGGATTAGGTACATAAGTAGTCTGCATGTAGGTGAAGTTGGGACCTCCAACTGGTCCTCACTTTTCCTGATTAGGATCAGTATCCTTAGTGGTAGTATGTGCCTTCCCTCCCTCCCCTAGCAGTGTCTTGCTACTGCCGACCTCTCAATTGTAGTATTATCACGAATGCTCAGGACCTACTTATAGGTGAAAGCATGTGGTATTCAGTTCTTTGTTTCTGATATTGAATATGGTGGACTCTAAATTCATCCAAGTTCCTGAGAAGTCCATAATTTTGTCCTTCTTTATGGATGTGTAATACTCCATTGTGTATATGTACCACATGTTCTTCATCCAGTTCGCTTTTGATGGGCAGCATGGTTAGTTCCCTGTTTTTGCTATTGTGAATAGTGCTACAATAAACATGAATGTGCAAGTATCTTTTTTGTAGAATGATTTGAGTTCTTTCTGGTACATTCCCAGAAAGTGGATTGCTGGGTCGTCTGAAAGAGTCTGAAAGATCAGCTTCTAGTTGTTTTAAAAATTGTCACACTGTTTTCCATAGAGGTTAAACTAGCTTATACTCCCACCAACAGTGAGGAAACTTTCCCTTTTCTCCACATCCTTGCTATTATCTGTGTTTTGCTTGCTTGTTGTTTTTGTTTTTGTTTTACTTATTAATGATGGCCATTGTTACTGGAGTTAGGTGGTACTTCAACGTTGCTTTGATTTTCATTTCTTTGACGATTAGGGAGGCCGAGCATCTTTTAAATGTATCTGTTCACTGTTTCTTTTGAGAAGTATCTGTGTATGTCTTTTGGCCACTTTTTAATAGGGCTGTCTGTTTTTTTTTTTCTTTTTCCTTTCAGCTCATTTGAGTTCCTTGTAGACCCTGGACGTTAGGCCTTTGCCAGATATATAGTTGGCAAAAATTTATCCCATTCTGTGGGTTGTCTCCCACTCTCTTGATGGTTTCTTTTGCTTTGCAAAATCTTTTCGGTTTGATGAGGTCCCACTTGTCTATTTTATGTTTTATAGCATACGCTTTTGGGGTTATGATCAATAATTGGTTGCCTATTGCAAAGTGCAGAAGGGTGTCTCCTGAACTTTCTTCTAAGATTCTAAAAGTTTGAGGTTTTATGTTTAGGTCTCTTATCCATTTAGCATTGATTTTTGTGTATGGTGATAGGTTGGGTCCTCATTCATTCTTCTGCATGTGGTCAGTCAGTTTTCCCAACAACATTTACTGAATAGCATCTCCTCTCCCCAGTTGTTGTTGATGATGACTTTTTCAAAGATAAATTGGTTGAGAGATTAAATTTTTTTCCAGAATATCTATCCTGTTCCATTAATCTATATGCCTGTTTTTGTATCAATAGCAAGCTGTTTTGATTATTGTAGGCTCATAATAAAGTTAGAAGTCTGGATGTGTGATACCTCCTGTTTTACTTCTTTTGTTGAGGATTGTTTTTGCTACTCTTGCTCTTTTTTGTTTCCATATGATTTTCTGTCTTGTCATTTCCAGGTCTGAGAAGAATGATGTTGGTAATTTGATCAATATTGCTCTGAATCTGTAGATTGCCTTGGGTAGGATGGACATCTTAACAACATTGATTTTTCCAATCCATGAGCATGGAATGTTTTTCCATTTGTTTGTCTCTTTGATTTCTTTGAGCAGTATTTTATAGTTTCATTGTAAAGTTTTTTCACATCTCTGGTTAGGAAAATGCAAGGTATTTCATTTTTTGTGCATGTGGCTATTGTGAATGGGATTGGTATATAGAAGTGTAATTGTCTTTTGCACATTGATTTTGTACCTTGAGATTTTGCCAAAATCATGTATCAGTGCAAGGGTTTTTTTTTTTACTGATTCCCTTGGGTTTCAAGGTATAGGATTATATAATCTACAAAAAGGAGTAGTTTAACTTCCTCTTTTTCTATTTGGGTACCCAGGATCTACTTCTCTTGCCTGATTGTTCTAGCAAGGACTTTCAACTCTATGTTGAACAGAAAGGACGAGAATGGACAACCTTGTCTTGTTCCTATTTTCAGCATCCA